CTCTCTCTCTCTCTCTCTCTCTCTCTCTCTCTCTCTCTCTCTCTCTCTCTCTCTCTCTCTCTCTCTTCCCCCCCCCATCGGGCAGCAGCAGCTGGCTCCACATCGAAAAGGCCGCTTTGAAATTGCTCGGGCCTGTGCAAAACCCGCCACCCTAAAAACCTGCAGTGTCTTGTGTCTGGACCTCTAGGCCCTGTCCGGTGGGGTGAAACGACATTGAAAAATCAACCCATTATTTTTCCAGGGGCGGCCAGGACCCGATAAACGTCCTGGGCCGACCCAATTTTTTTTTTGATTTTTGCCCCAGAGGCCTCAATCCAGACGTATTGTCCAGACATATTGTCCAGACACCGGACACCGGACTGTCTGGAACCCGGCTTGGACGTCCGGGCGGTTACCATGCTATGTCATGATTGCTATGCCTTGTACTAACTGTGTGCTCGTGCTGTGTTTTTCTGTGTCCCGGGAAAGGGTAGATCAGTAATAGGGGAACCACAGGGATAGGACTGAAATTGGACACCGGATGGACTTATTAGGGCCCCGTAGCTGAGCTGCAGACTGCAATGAGGCAGGGATTTCTGGTAGGCCTAACACACCAGAAGAGGCAATAGTAACCGGCCGATGGAGGCTGGAGGCTGGGTAGGAAGAGTATTCACATTACCCCACAGTCATGCTGCTGCTCTTCCCAGAGGGTGAGCTCTGGCTGAGCGGAGGAGCTGGAGGGTGAAGGAGAAGACTCCATGGCCATGGAGGAGTACTAGTAGTAGGTAGTAGGCCTATGTTATGGAGTAGTAGTAGTAGTAGTAGGGTGTAGGGCTAGGCTATGGAGGTTTAGGGAACCGCAAGCTAGGCTATGGAGAAAGGTAGAGGAAGAGAGTAGAGGTTGAGGAAAGGAGGGAGGAAGGAACAGACATGGGAGACTCGCCTTTGGCAACGGTAGATCTTCATCTCCACTTCCTTGATTAGCACTGCATACAAAAGGCCCCTGTGTGGGTACCATCTGGTCTTGGACTTCTTCCGAGAGTGTGGCTATGGCTAATTGAGATGGGAGAGGCATGGTAATAGTTGTGTTGCCCTTTGGACATCCATGATGGATGAGAAAACCGCCATAACTCAATATGCAGCTGGGAGGAGATAAGTGAGAATGAGGCCGAAAGGAGACCTCTTGGAGTGCTGACAGTAAGGGGGAATCCTCAGACATCATTCCTGTTCATTCATTTGTTGTTTAATTATTTGGTTATTTGAAGATGAGGAGAAAGGAAGAAGGAGATGAGAAGGGCAAGAAGAGAGGGTGATGCCATTGGCTTCAACATTTGTGATTCTTCTTCTTCTTCTTCTTCTTCTTCTTCTTCTTCTTCTTCTTTGCCCTTCTATTTCACTCTTTCTCTCATTCGACGTCATCTCTTGAGTCGACCAAGACTTGCATTTTCTCACATTTGAGTTTTGCAGTATGGATGATGTACGATCCTAATCTGAGCATCATGTGTGCACTGAGTCTGTGCTTTTCATCCAAGTGCGCACATGTGCCTGCACGAATGGGTGTCATGGACCATATCTTCAAATTCCCCCCAAAACTTCCCAAAACAATATGCGGGCCTCAGGGCATACTCACACTCGGACTTTTCAACAAAGGTCCGGACATGATATAAGTGAGATTCATCCAGGTCTGGCCATAATCACAGTCGGAATCTGTCAGATGCATTTTGGAAAGTGCTAGTGTAAGTGTATGCCCTCAGCGCGTCACAATCATGATCTGTACCCGCTAACGTGAGACTGGGCATTCCCAGAGGGACAGAAAAGGCCCCAGGCTGCTGGGACTAGACCTCGCATACCCTTCATCAATCAAACGACATGGGAATGCTGGCTGGGGCTACCATGCTTCCCTCCCCACCACCTCCCCTCTTGTGTCACTCACCAGAGAGATGATGTATGGGCCTACCAGGCCCTCACCATGGGTGTTCCATCTTTTCGAAGTTGTAAATGTCATGATGAGTACCCCGTACACTCATAATCCCCAGGTTAACCGTCATCACACCATGGTTCGGACTACAGGTGAGCCATGATCACACCATGCCTGAATTCAGAAATTTGACATCCTTATGTCATCCCCACAACTCCTGCATAACACAAATTATACAGTGTACTCGCTGTAAGAATGCTGATTACCAGCAACGGGCACAATCGTTGCACAATCGCCATTTCAGAAATGGACGAACTATATCCACGCTAATCCAGCACAAATTGTCATCTGTTCCAGGTGTTGATCTCAAAGAAAACCACTGTCCTTCAGGACATCCGTTGAAATCAGAAGGATACACAGAGAGAGAGAGAGAGAGAGAGAGAGAGAGAGAGAGAGA